GGTTTGCTCTTGTAAGGTGGCACATGGTTAGACAGTTTTCTTTACAGAGGAGCTGGCATGGTATGCAGTTCTTCTGGAAGATATAAAGAGACCTTTTCATCCATAAGAAATATGATCTTGCAAACCTGAGAGACGTAGAATGGCATTCTAAGAGCCCCTTGGGAGTTCACGGCTTCATAGGGGTGAATATTTTGTACTTTTGCCTTTGGCATTTTAGTTATTTATATGTTGGCGCAGGAGGGACCAGGTAAAGAAGAAGAGGTAGAAAGACTGGAGACAAGGCAATGTGTGTAAGCCCAGAAACAAGTCAGTGTACAGCTTCATCTAGAGCATGGTCCTAGTTCCAGCTGATGGATTTGAGAGATCCTCACTCCTGCTTTACTCCTGGCTATCCAGCAGGGCATAGTGGGGAAAAAAGTCTCTAAACAGAAATTTACTATTAATTTCTATTAAAAATACTCAGAACCTTTTGTTTGTCTTGACAAATCACAAAGTTCTGAAGACTGTTTTGTTGGATGAACTAATATAAGTTGTACAGTTTAGCATGAGGCAGCTACTTCAGTTCACTGATTTATGTCCAAAGGTAATATAAATAAAAACATCTCAGTAAGTGCTAGAATAAAAAGAAGTGTAGAACACTAATTTTTAGAACAAGAATCTATAATGTGTTATAGTAAATAGCACTTCATTTCTATTTTTAGTAGTCTGAGATACATTAATTGCTCAGCTGTTTATATTAGCTGCAGCACATAATTTCTTACACTTATGGCTTTGCCTACATGGAATGCTTTCTGAATTTTGCTGTTTGCATATAGGGTGTCAGTTAATGAGACATCAATTTAAGTAAGCCATTCTGCTTCTTCTGTCGTCTAGACTTGCTCAAGTCTTACTTTTAAATTGCAGTAATTACCCAGATGTGGGTGCATATCCTAGAGTGTGCAAATAATGCTGGGATTGCCAAGCTAGAAGTAGTTCCTACTTCTGAGATGTAATTTGCATCTGGTACTTAGATTTCTAAGGTGTTCATTCCTAACGATGTAAATTCTGTCTGTCTATAAAAGAAATATAATTGGTTTCTAATGCGATGGTTAAAGGAAGTTTGGTTTTATATTCAAGCTATGGAAATTTTCATTCAAGTTAGGTTGAAACCTCAGGCTACTGACATCCTAGTAATGCAAACTTTTGTGTCACGAAATTGAGGATGTAACTTTGTGATCATCAGGAATAGTTTGTGTTTTCCTTAAGTACTATGAAATACAAAAGCTAATAGGGTTTTTGTTTTAAATCATAGTATGGTAAAACTGAGTAGCTTATTAACAGAATTTACTGTGTCAATATAGAAATGAAAAGTAAGTGAATTTCAAAACCTATTAATAAAGAACAGCTTGGTATACTCTAAGCATTATAGCAGCCTTATGGCTGAGTAACTGTAGCATAATAAGAGTTTAAAACAAACATTTTTGAAGGACAGTACAGAACAGATTGTTGTCAGATTAAATAAGGACTCTCTGATGCCCTGAGGTGTTAGGGTTACAGGATTCTCAAAAGTTTTTTCTTTTCACTGCATTCTTCTTATTTTAATACTTAATGTTGGAGGAAAATAAAAATAGACAACTATTCCTTTTCTTTTTCTACTTTGCCTCTTGAATTCTATTATTCTATTTGAATTAATTATGTTTGGATAGTTCAGTCTTGTATAAGCAAGAATTTGCCTTTGAAACTTCAAAGAGTTCTTGTTTCATCTTCCACGGAATGTTCAAGTGTTACAGGCTAGAGTCCCTCCATTGCTCCTTGTTGTGGATGTATTAACTGTAGCCTCCCTCTCTAATGTGAACAGCCTTTTCATTTTCCCTTGTTTTTTCAATAACGCCTGGACATGAGTTCAATGCAGTTGTAGGGGAAACAGTGCCACCCGTTGGATTATCCGTTTATTACATGGGCTGGTCCTGGAAGGTGAGGTGATCCCCTTTACAGTTATCATGGCTTAACTCAGAGTGTTTTCTCAAGGTCTATACTTCCCTGCAGTATTATTATGTTACTACCTTATCAAAACGCCTTTTTTTTTTGGTATTTGTTATGGATGTGTAAATTTTGATTGCAGTCAAAGCTTTTCTGGAGCATCTTGCTCTCAGAAAAAAATATTTTAATTTTCCTTAAGTGGATTTTATCTGCAGTTTCTCTGACTCTTGCCTCAAAAAGGCATTTTACACTTTTGTTGAAATCTGTGGCTGGATTTTTATTTTTTTTTAATGACAGATTTTATGAAATCTGCAGCAATTATTCCATGTATTTCCCCCCTCTTGGCTTCAATCAGTTTGGTTTTTATTTTTAATTTGATACTAAGGGCTCAGCCAGTATAGCTGTTAGCGTATGACTTCCCATTTCTCAATCTCAAATAAACAGTAAGTTATCATAAATTAAAAGAGTCTTTCCTTCCAGACAGAGAAAAGTTATAATAGATGTGTAGCAATAAACAGACCAAGGAAGCTTCTCCCTATGGCCTAGTTAACAAAAAAAGGCAGTAATTCACATACATATATGCTATTTCCACCCTTAAGTTCTAGTTGCAGTAAATTTGGGGTATCAGTCTCTCTCTATCCATAACATTCTTCAAGCATAGTAAGGTCCCTAAAATAGCTGTTGTCTCCCATGGCAATCTAGTGAAGATTAGAACAAACTCAATAAGTATCGCCCAGGGTCTGAATAACCAGGTTGCATTAAGGTTTATTTAGGTGGGAATACAGCAAAAAAATTTGCATCTGAGACTCTATAATGCAGCGTAGAAGAGTGTTTTGGTTTTTAGTTTGCTTTATCTATTTATTTATTTATTTAATATAACTCTAATCTGATTAGTTCAGGCTCTGTTTTCCTACACGTTTTGATTCAAGTTCAGCTGAATACCTCTGACACTTAGCAAAAGAAAAATGAGTTTCTCTGCTCGCAGGATAAAAAAATGGAGTTTAAGATTCCATTCTCTTCTGATGCACTTCCTGTGATTCTTGGGGACGTTGTGAATTATAATGTTAGGCATGTGTTTTAAGGCACTAGAAGAGAAAATAAACCTTGATTTAAAATCAGGTATGTGTATTACAGTAGGGAAATGTTGTAGTTTTGCATACATGTCTCACTTTTGGTGTCGAATGGGATTCTGGAGCTGTTTGCAAAATACAGATATTTGCATTTTAGTGGCAGTTATATGCACTTTCATAGAACATTTAAATTCCTTACATGTTTTGGAATGACTTACTCAGAATCTCTATGACATTATTTAAGCAGAACAGTGATGATTAATCAGGGATTGGATATAACTGAAATGCAAGGTTGGTCTACAGTTATGCTGGGTTTGTTCTAGAGGATTCCTTTGGCTAGGAGGCAATGACTGAATGTTATAACTTAAGATTTGCTAAGAGAAAAGGAAAATAAAAGTCCTTATATAATTTGTAAAACTTGAAAGGGTGAGTAAAGTGTTTATAGAGTTCCAAATGGATTATAAGTTTAGTTTCTCAAAATTAATTTTTAGCATTAAGTGGTCATTTCAGCATTCTGCAGCCCAAAACTCCTGCCATAGAGTAAATCTCTTTTGTATTTTGTTGTTTTGAGGCACTTTTTTTTTACTGTTATTTGTAGATTGTTTGCTTTGGGTTTTTTTATTTTTTAGTCTGTTTTTGGGTTTGCTTTTTAAGAGATACATATATTTAATCGTGATTTTGAGGGTACTGTTAGTATTGAAATGATTCCACAGAATGTAGGCTAAAACATCACCATTAGTAATTGAATTTAAATCATTTAAGAGTGAATGAATAGCTCTATTTAAAAACTGGTTTGGGTCAAATTTGCATGTCCCCTTAGTTATATCTAAATGATCAAGTCTATGGGTTTATTTTAAGGGACATTATTTCTAAGCAACTTTTTGAGATGTGCCTGCCAGAAGACTAAGGGACATTTTATTTTGTTTCTGTAGACCAGCACATCACCTGAATTTCAGGAGTCATGATTTTCCATTTTTCCCTTCCTCAGTGCAGCAGAGAGGAATCTTTGCTGATTTTTTCCAGAAGAGTCAAAAAATAGCTTATTTGTCTCACATTTTTGGATTCCAAATTGGCCTTTTTCAAGGGGTAGAAACTTAGAAACATTTTTCAAGTGGATGGCATTTTTCAAGAAGTAGAAACGCAGAGTGAGGGTATCAGAAATCTAAATCACAATGGGTACACAAACTATCATCTTTGGGAGCCTTTAGAGCAGACAATGGTATTGGTCTTATGTTCAGAAAAAAGAAATTAGAGACAGACAGAGATGTAATTAATCCAGTTTCTTCTACATTAACCAGAAAAGCAAGTTCTGTTTTGTTAATAAGGGCTAGATGCCAGACCTAACAAAATTATTTGGCTCAAAAACTTAACAGACTTAAAGAGGGGAAAGGCTTGCAACTCTAAGGTACCCAGGGTATGTATTCCTTGGATCGTGACATTCTGCATCAAGCTATTGTTTTAACTTGTTTGAAAGTTCACTATAGTCTCAATAGACAAGAGTGCAGAATAAATACATATTTTTACATAGCTTTACAGTTTTCCTGTGGGTTTCATAGCCACACATGTAAATGGAAATTCAGTCTGATCTGTAATCACTCTTTGTTTATGTACCAACGAGTAGTCCTGAAGGATAGGTCTGATAAAGCTATACTGTGATTTGAATACTATGCATTAATATTGCATGCCATTTAAAATTTAAGAGTATAGTTTAGGAGAGGTTAGGATCTAGGACCTAATTCTGTACTGGATTTCCCTAAACTAGGCTTTGTCTTGTATCTCTTTTTCAATGCAAGAAAGCATTCTATGGTAATATATAGTGTTTGAAGTTCAAGTAGGAGTATTTTTCTAAAGAAAATGACAGCTGAAATAAAACCATACTACCTTATGATTTATTTTCCTTGTCTTTTTTTTGTATGTAAAAGAAAAATATTTAACTCTGTTAAATAATTACTCTTTTCTTTTCTTTTTTAGGTTGTCTTAGTCTTCGCTCTTAGTATTGGTGCTCTTGTAATATACTTCATAGATTCATCAAAGTGAGTATTCTAGTACATTTTCCTTTCTCTCCTTTCCTGCAGCAATTATACATCTTTAAATTGCTCCATTCATCTTCTTCAAATCAGTGCTTGGTCTCATTGCCTGAGTGCAAAGAACTTTATAATAACACATAATCTACAAATAATAACTCAAAAATGGGAAAAAGATCTTACATAAACTAGATTGAACACAGTCACATTGGATCTGTAGAATAAATAGAGAGAAAAACTACTTTTGTGTGTTGAGATGATACATAGTATTGCAAAATTACAATTTTTATTTTCATTATGCAGGTGTAGAATCTTTCAAATTCAAGACTGGGATAGGATATACAGGCCAACAATATTTGTCAAAAAACTGCAGTTTACAGGAAGAAAGAGGTGTCTTAGGAGACTGACAGGAACAGTTCTGAAAACCTTTGAATGAATTAGACAGTACAGCATTATTGTTGCATATCTGTTCATATTTCCAACTTCTGGGTTTGATAGATTTCTACCAAGGTAACGTGAACCAGTAAAAGTCTTCAAAGCATCTCAATATTTTTTAGATTTACACCACTGTTATCTTCTAGTGTTGTAGTTTTGGCCAGACCATAGAAAGTTTCATCCTGACCTTTTGATGTGATGGTTTGATACAAACTGGTGTAACTTGGAATATATTCTGATATTGTTTTCATATCAAACTGGATACTCAGTGTTGTAACAGGCAAATTGGTAGCCTAACACAGAAGAATAAAAGAGGACTTAATAGAGTATTCTTCCTTGAATTCAAATTCTTTTGGGAGGATGATATTCAAAATATCAATAGCATTTTGAGGTTCTATGACAACATACTTAATGCTTTTCTCTGAACTAGTTTGAGGCTTGCCATTGCTGCAATGGTTAAGGTTGTGATTGTATGCCTAAGTCACTCCATGTGAGCCCACCTAACTGTCTGTAATGGTAGTGGCTGTGTTCTAAAACAATCATTCTGTGACTCAGAAAGTCAGACATTCCACTGTTGACATCTGTACATACTGATATTTAGGAAGGTGTTAGCACCAGCACAAGATATTCTTGGATACACGGATGTCAGCTCTGTATTTTGTGAGTTTGAAGCCGTCAGTGTGTCAAGCATAACCCAAATAACTAAGGTATAGATGTTCTTTACAGAGACGAGCCAAGTGGTGGGAAAACTCAAGTTCTGTCTTGAGCTCCCTTGAAGAGAGAAAAATTCTTTTTCTTCTTAACATTGCAATGAGTTTTCATTAATTTTTGAAATTTAATATGTCACCAGTGAAGTACTTAAGGTGGTACTTTTCTGAAGATCTTTGTAAAACTTTTAAAAGCCCAATGGCTAAGCTTCTGGATGCTTATGTGTCCAGGTCAAAAGTGTAAAATAGAATAAAACCTGTTTCCACTTATGTTCCAATTTTGAATCAACGAAAGCTACAGCTATGTGTTGGGGCAATTTTGTGAAACTGTTGGATTATCTAATGAATTTTAGACGCTGCATTCTTGTAGTCTTTGGTTGTTTTCCTCAAGGAGAGCAAAACTGACAACATGGGAGATGTCTCTAGGATGCTTTCTGTGGGACACCTAGTCCACATACTGCTACTGGCTTATTGGCTGCTTGATCAACAAGTGTTTTAACTGTGCATTTCTCTTGGTTTTCAGTCAACATTTAGCTCCTGCTGCAGTTCAAATTCAACAACCTCAAGTTAATGTACTCTACTTGCATACTTTGCTTTGGTTTCTCCTTTCTTCTCTCTTACCCTCCTTTATTTCCACATATACATCTTGGTCTTTTTTTCTTTTTTTTAAATGCTCATTAGTAGTTTAATTCATGTTAGAAACAACTCAGATATATCGCTGAAGGGAAAAATTCTGCTTTATTCTGTATTAGAAGCTGATCTAACACCCATTTCAGCAATGTAGAATCAAATACGGTGATATATGAATCAATTTCAGATCCATGATTGCATGCTCGGAAAAATTATTCCCTTGAAAATTTGGTTAAACAGGAAATAACGAAGGTAGGATGAGAGGAATGCTTGTGTTATCCTCAACAAAACAGCTGGAACAACAGAGACTACAGCTTGACCAGGAACAGAGCAGACATAGGATCTAATGCTCACACCAGACAGATGGTGACACATACCATTGTCTGCTTTCCCTTAACAATGCATTCTGTAGCTGTTGTGTTCTGTCTGTGCCATGGACTCTTAGCTGGTATTTGATCTTATATGTGCAGTGACAAAAACCGTGACTTCGATCCAAAGCTGAAGAGTACTAGTGTAAGGAGTTGTCTGAAAGAAATGCCAGTTATTTATTTATCCAAGACTCCTAATCTGTCACTAGATTTGCAGATGAAATGACAGGTGTGTCCACAAAGGAATCGTGCATGACTTCCTACTTAAGGGGCATGAAGAAAGATGGGAAAAATGATGTCACTTTCTTAGATACTGAAGGAAGGAGTGAAAAGATCACATAGTTTTGTCAGGCAAGCATGTGTGTCGTGATTAATTGTAGTGGAACACGCCAGTATGAAGGCTGTCACAGCTGTGAGAAGAGGGTAAGCTAAGAGCATTTTTATACTACCCAGTTCATGACTCTTAACAGACACTGCCAGACTAGCACCAGATGAAATGGCATGTCCAGTGCAATGCTATTTGGAGAGATCTGAGGTCAGAAAATAGCGCAGCTTCATCAACATCCTCCGTACCAGTTAGTCCTACATTTCAGCAGAGCCAATTAAATAGCTTTGTGTTGCTATAGAATATGTGTGTACTAATTCTGTTTCTGGCACAAACTTAGGAATTCTGCACCATACTTCATTACAAAATATGAGCATAGTTGTGATCATATACATCTGCTTTAGTCCGAACTGACTGAATTTCTTAGTAAGAAGCAGCGCTTAATTCACCTTTTGGGAAAGGTTCGAAACAAAATCACAAAAATAATCATTCTTGGTGGAAAGAATTAAGGTTACTAATTTTGAAAACTATAGAGGTTCATCCAATCCTTTCATTAAGATTATTCTTAATATTATTCAGTGCTCATACTTTTTACAAGGCACCACTTTGAATTGTTGTCTCCACAAGGTGCCTGTAGAATATTTTTCTTTAAACTGAATATGTCCAGTTTCAGTGATGTGTTGTAGCAACTAATGGAAGATTTCAGTCCTTAAACTAAGAATTTATTTAGCGTAGAAATTACAATCTTGGCATTCCTGTCATGTAAGTTCAGTCACATCCTGTTAGGAAATGTTTCACTTATTACTATGGACTAGACTCTTTCCTTCCTTTATTTTTGGAATCTCATTCATAAAATACTGTTTTCTTGGTCAGTGGTATTTTTCAATATTGTGAATAAGCAGATAAATATGAAACATTTGCAAAAGAGATATTATAAATACTATTCACATAATTATTTTAATATTTAGGTAACAAATAACCAAATAATTACATTTTATTTTTAGAGATTTTTTATATTTTGATGTCTGTCTTCCATTTTTGGTTTGAATAAAAGCACAACATTCAAAGAAGAAGTCATAAGCAGATCTACTTCAGTATAGAATAACATCATTATTGTAGTGACAGTTTTTTTCCTATTCATGTTTCCTTTAAAATTTGTCATCATTTAATTTTTCAAGGTAAGAAAATAATGGAATTATCCTCTTCTTAAGAGGAAAATCTGACTTTATACAGTTATCGGGAATCTACTGAATGTGCTGCAGTAGAATAAAGCTTGATGTTTGCCAATGCTTTTTAATTTTATGTGCTTTTTTTATATGTAGTTTTCACAAACTTCCTCCTTCCTTTGTTTATTTTTCCTTTCTGTTTCTTTTTCCTTTCTGTTTATTTTTCTGCATGTAAAAGGTGTTTTAGCAAATACATATAGAAGTACTTCTCTGACTGTTATTTACATCAGTACTAGAGATGCATTGGATGCATTGCCCATTCTCATTTCCGTTTGTCATTCTGACCTCTGCATATTGTACTGAATTACTGACTTGAATAGAATAGAGAATAACATTTGCCATGATCATCTTTAGGCATGGTCAGTAAAAGCATTAGCAGAGAGCTCGATTTTCTGCTAAACTGGGAACTAGGGGCTCCTATTTTCTATTTCTTGTAATGGCAATAGCATGGAAACTGCTAATGGTGTGAATATCCTTTTATGCTCTGGTTCTAGATTCTCTTCTGGGGTGCAATATAATGTAATATGCAACTATAGATAGTAGACTTTTTTTTTTTTTTGACAAACAGATTACTTTCTAATGACCAGTTGTTACTGTCCTGTCTCTTGAAGTTTACCTCATTTACTGAAGTCCCTTCCCTGAAAACTGATGTCAATGTAGAAATCATAGAGCCCATCAATGACAAAGTGAAAAAAATGAAAAGTCTTACAACTGGCTTTGTATGTTCTACTCACATGTGTTTTTTCAGATTAGCTTTTTGGAGTTGTTTTGTCAGAGCCATCAGCATAGTTATTCCTAAATAGCTATTTTTTCCAATACTGTGTCACATTGTACTTGATTAGAATTGTACATAAAAGTGCCATTTGGCAATGAGTATTAACAAATAGACTTGATGATCTAAAAGGTCTCTTCCAACCTACGTTATTCTACCTACTTGCTTAGTAGTAATATCAGCTGAAAACACATCAGAGATGCTATACTAGAAATTGCCTGACAAAACAATACAACATGAAAAGTCTTGATTCTTGTTTTGAAGGATTCATGTTGGTCTCCTGACATTGTTTGGCAATATATTAGGAAGAGTTCATTGGAAATAAATATTCTGTTTATAGGCACACAGGAGTTTCCCGTGTGACAGCACAAGGAGAAAAGTCTCTTGGAATGTTTTACTAGCAAAAATATTTTTTTCCCTTAGCGACACTTTATTTCAAGTCCTTATGAACTCTGTTATTTTGTGGGAATATTTGAGGATAAATTGTGACTGTGTACCATGTTTGGCTTTCCTGCTTTTTTGCTACTGCTGCCATGTTGTCTTCTG